TAACAGCTGGAAAATGATCAGGATCTAGGTCTCCTGCATTCTAGATCAACCTCTCTTATCTCTTTGAACCTGAAGGAAAAAAAGAGACTTACTTCCTATTTCTTATTTCAGATTCACAAGCCTCAGAAACTATATCTAAGAATCACTTGAAATCTAAGTGCTTACTTAGTAAGTACTGAGTATTTCTTTTGAAGTACAAATACATTTTACAGTATTCTTTTTTTGTTTGTTTTTTGGACAGGATCTCACTAAATGGCTTAAATTGCCCAGGCTGGGTTTGAATTGGCAATCCTGCCTCAGCTACCCAGAGTGCTGGGATTATAGGTGTGTGCCACCATGCCTAACTACAAATATATTTTAGCAACAAAAAAGTGTTGAGTACTGTGCAAAAGTTGTACATGGCTCAAGAAGCAGGAAGATGAGTTCTGACTAACCAATCACTATGAACAGCTAGATCTAGACCCAGCTCAAAGGACTTTAGAAACTAGGCAATACCTCCCCCTCGTGCCAAACAGAAGACATTACAAGCTTTGAACCACACCCCAAACACAAACTAAAGTACTCTAATTTTTCTTAAGTTTCCAATCAGCCAGCATAAGTCAATGAAGAATTAAAGCTAACAAGTGGACAAAATAAGAGGCCTGGAAAACATAAGGTAAAGATTTATTTGGGGCTTCATGGCTATTGGAGGACTCAGGAAGCCACACATCCTAGTTAATCATAATTTGCCTACCTTTCTAAAGCTAGTTAAACATTTTCAGAGCCAGTTGGAAACCTATCCCAGTAAAAAGCTAAGCTTCAGTAAAGAAGCAAGAGAAAGTGGGAGGCAGGAAAGAAAATCTCAAATAGGGTTTGTTTTCAACTGTTTAAATTTTCAAAGCTCCCTATTTTGACTAATAAATAACCAGGGATAAACAACATATGGTTTCCTCTGAACCCGGAATAATAAAAAGTTGGTGAAAAGATTAGTGTTGAATACTTGACAAATGTCTTCATCTGCTGCTCAAACAATAGGCATCACATTCTTTTACTGATAATAAATTGTAAGCCCTCAATCTCTTCTGCTTATATTATATAAAGGAACTTGGTGATATAAAACCTATAGGAATATAGCCAAGTCACTTAGTAGTATAGTCAAATCACTTTGTAACAGGAAACCTCTTATAGTTCTCAAGAACACAGCAAATAGACTGAACTTAAACGCAAATGTCTTAGTAACTTTCCTCGTTGCTGGAACAAAACACCCAAACCTGCAGTTTAAAGAAGGAGACATTGATTTTGGCTCACAGTTCCTAAGTCTCAGAGCATGTTTGGCAGGCTTAAACACAGAAACAGCATGGCTGAAGGGCCTGGGAAGAGGAAAGCTGGTCACGTCATGGAGGCCAGGAAGCAGAGAGAAGCCTGGGAGGGAGACAAGTGCTTCCAGGTCATGTCCCCAGTGATCCACCTCTAACCAGGCTCCCTTCTAATAGCAAGCAAGCTATAGCACCCCCCATACCCCCATAATCTAGTCACCTTCCAAAAGTCCTGCCTCTGAATACATGAGGCTCTTGGGAGATATTTAGATCTAAACTATAACAGCATATCATGGGAAGAATAAACAGGGTTATTAGAGAAACTAAATATGTTTAAACACTGCCTTTCCTTTTCCAAAGTCTGTTTGGAATACTGTGGTTGCATGCATTTAATCTTGATTTCAAACTCTTTCCTGGTTATTGAGCTTTGAAACGAGGTAAATGAAAGTACCTAGCATTTGGAGCCATTTTCCTTTGATTCCTATCCCACCAATCTTCCACCATGATTACAAACCATAAAACATCAACAATTCCATGGCAAGGAGCACATCCAACCTACCATACCACAACTGCTTCCCAACTGTTTCACGGCATATAGAGAACAAGCTACCAGTGGTCAGCTCTTCAGGGATAAAGAAGGGTGCTGGTGGTTGGCTCACCAGTCTAGATTCCGGTCATTATAGGCCCAACAGATTGCCCAAGATTGCCCACTCTATCTCGGCACATCTATAATATAGGTACACATACCAGTGGGTAAGTATGACATATATAGCTTATTCCTGTTCATTCCTAAGCCATCTGACACTTTTAAACATAGCCTGCCAGACTTGGCAATTATCATCAAAACCTACAAGTTACAAAAATTAGGACCCAGATAAAGGTGGACTGTTTACTGTTCACTGAAAAGCAAGAGGGGGAAAGGTCCCTCACCAAAACATAAGGGGGCACAGGAAGGTGGTTATGAGGGCTCAGTATTCAGGCTACGGTTCCTTTAGGATTATATCATGCACTCAGGGCCTTATTCTCATTTTGTCCAAATGAAAATAGGATGGTAAAAAAAAATACTTAAAAAGAAAATGATATATTGGATGAACATTCTGGGCTAACAATGACAACTACAGAAAAAAATCTGACAAGTAATTCAGTGATCTAGAAGACTTACCAATCTTTTTGGGATATGTTCTTATTATAAATATGGCCAGGATTCTCCTTATAGGGAGGACAGATACATTTACATCGGACATCCTCAAAATTCTGTAACCAAAATAGAAACTTGATATAACTTGTTTATAGTTTATCATCAATATTTTTTTTAAACTGCACATAAACATTTTGATAGATATCCCTTGTCAAATATTCTAAAATCCTAATTTTGAGAGATACAAGTTTTTGAAAGACACAGGTCATTTATGGTAAAGCTAATGAATCATTATATATTACATACAATTTTTTTTTTTTTTTTTTGTACCGGGGATCAAACTCGGGTCCTTGAGCTTGCGAGGCAGGCAGCGGAACCACTGAGCTAAATCCCTGGCCCCATACAATTATTTTTAAGTAAATACCTAATCCATAATTTTTGACTTATTATCTTTATGAATCCCGTAACAATCAAATTGTGTTAATGTTATCAACATCTACCTGCCAGATGACAAAAGTTGTATCTATAAATAAGAACGCTGATTACAAAAGAATGGAAGGAGAATCAAACTAAAAATTATTAATGAACAAGTCACAATTCTAGGGATATAACTCAGTGGTACAGTGTATAGTCAGAATGCCTTAGAAACACACACAAGTCGCAATTCTTCAACCTATCTTCCTTTACTTTTTGGTAGAAAGGTACTAATCTGGATAAAATGAGTTAAACTAGAGTCTCATTGAAGGGATGAAGTTGTAGACATTCAGCTTCAACTAGAAAGGCAGTACACTGAGGAAGTAGCTTGATTTTAGCTGAGATCAGTTTGATCTACTCTTTCTAGGGGACTTTGCTTCTAATCTTGGTTGTCTAAGAGAAGAACTACTAACAAGTTTCAAGTGGTGGAGGAAGAGGTGATTAAATATCTAGCAACAATAGGAAATGGTTCTTCAGCAAAGGAGAATTTCCTTGAAAAGGCAGTGTTTCATTAGTCTCAAGAGGTCCAGGCACACTGCTTTACATACAATGATCCATCTGACAGCTGCTGACAATTCATAACTTATTCAGCAACCACTTAGGACATGTATTGCTCTGTGCCAGAACTTGTGCTCAATGAGGTGGATTCAGATAAGCATAAGACATGGTTCCTGCACACTAGGCCACACCCTAGCAAGGGGAGACTGACAAACACACGATCATGATATACTATATAAAGTGACGACAATACCCAGAGAGTGCCACCAATGTTGTGAAAGTCAGGAGAATTGCTGGTGGGAGGTCAGGAAGTTTTTTGTTTTGTTTTGTTTTGTTTTGGTACCAGGGATGGAACTTGGGACCGGGGATGGAACTTGGGACCTTGTGCTTGTGAGGCAGGTGCTGGAACCACTGAGCTAAATCCCCAGCCCCAGGAAGTTTTTGAAAAGAACTGATCACAAACATCTGCCTCCCTATAACCTTGGGTTTTTTTCAGCCCCTATATTTAAAAATATTATCGATTACAGCTATTTTTTTAAATGCAATGTCATTCTGTTTTCCCTACACACTAATGTGAATTCCTTCTCTTTTGCCCAATAATGAGTTAGCTCATCAAAGAAGAAGCCCAAGTATGCATGGGGCCGGGGCAGATCTGGAGATTAAGGGCACCAGAGAGTGAGAGGAACAGAAGGGTTAAGAAATGGAATTAGGGACAAGGCTACAGGTTCACCTGTCCTATAGTTTGGTTCTTCCCTTTCCCAGAAAACCGTGGGGAAGAGTGAAGGTAAGAGGGGGCCAACAGGTCCTGGAAGGAGGTAGGTGAGAATATTAAGCTAGTGACAGATACTCTGTGGGTCGTATCAGGAGGGGGCTGCCAGCAGAGGCAAGTTCCCACAGAGGGAAGGGGATCTGCTCTGGGGCGAGTTCCGAATAGGAAAGACTCCTGAGATGAGGGCTTCTAATCATTTAGTTTGGAGACTTGTGGAACTTGTGAGGGTGGTGGCAGGCAGCGTAGGTAGTCGGAACTTAAGGGGAGGAGAGTCAAAGGCTCCCGGAGCTGGAAAGGTAAGTTTGAAGCAGGCGATGTTGGAGCTGGAAAGGGAAGTGTCAAGCGGTGGAGGAGCTGCTGCCCAGGCCGGGGTGGTGTCAGGGGGTGACTTCAGCTGTCAGGGCTGAGGGTGAGTGCTACAGGCGACGAGGGCTATGGCAGGGTGGGGGGCTGCTGTCAGGGATGGGGAGGACTCGGGCGGGCAGCCTGTGGCAGACTCGGGAGGAGCTCCTGTCAGGAGCGAAGGCGGGGCGGGACTCACCTTGGCGGCGTCTGTCAGCTGCACCAGCGCGGAGAGCGCCAGGCAAGACAAGCTGAGCATAGAGCCAAGCCGGAGGAGGCCTTCGCACAGGGTTGCCATCGCGGGAGCCCAGCCGGCTCCCAGCCCGGAGCCCCGAGACCTGATCCCAGCTCGGGATCCCACTCGGATCCTCCGCCTGCACTTCCGCCTGGGCCTTCGCGTCACAGGCCGCGCCGGGTCAGCTGTAAAAAGCATCCGCCCCGGAAACGGTTCCCGACGTGAAGGGGCCGGAGACTGCGCGGTCCCAGCGGGTCCCGCGGCCTTCACTCGGCCCCGGGACGCGAAGGGACCGCTCTGGGGCGACGGCCTGGGCCAGCCAAGGCTTTAGGGCGCTCGGGTACCTTCTCCGGAGGCAGAAGCAGTGGGGTCTGGAGGAATCGCCATTGCGCTCTAAGTCCTCTCCTTCAGGGAGGTCCCAGCAAGCTCCGGATGTCTCGGAGGCCTCCAGCGCCCATTCGGGCCGGACCCCAGGATCCGCCGAGGGCGGCCCATTCCGGCCCGCGCAGGCAGGGCGGGTGCCAAGCAAGGGGAAGCGGCTGGGACTGGCCGATCATTCCTTTCCCGGAAGCCTACCCCAGTCGGACGGTGGGGGTCGTCTCCCCACCGTGAGTACTAACCTTTCGCCCTTGCGCCTTCCAGACACAGCGCTCCACGGTGTTTGTAACAGTTCTGTTAGCCGTCCTCGCGGGTGTGGCTTCCGCTTGAGGCTGACCGCTCGGTGCAGCTCGAAGCTGGGAAGTGGGCCACAGCAGCGGACCTGAGCAGGCCCAGGGCAGGCTCCCGAATATGTGGACTTGGCTACAGAGCGGCCCCAGCCGCACCGTGCCTCTGCCCAGGAGTCCAGGAGCGGGGAATCGGGCTGCTGCGCCCCGGCGAGGCCGTGCCTGTTCAGGACAGCTGATTCGACCCACTCCCCAGGGTGCGTCTTCCTCCGCAGGTACTTTAGGAGCACCCTGGAGATGGCATAATGTCTCCATTAAAGTATTTTTCAGTTAGTGGAGACGTGGAGGTAGTGGAAGAGATGCGGGGTGCATCACAACCTCTAGAAATTTGCTGAATGACCTTGGGTAAATCATTTCTCCGAGTTTCTTGATTCTTGGCTCAATATAAGGGGTCCGAATTTTATTAGCCTCAAAATGTACTCCCATGATTCTTGTCTCCTCTAAATAGATTTTAAGTCCTTTCCTAGTTTGTGAAAATGTTTTAATTAACAGAATTTTCTCAGTATTTTTCTCCCATGTGACCCTTGTTGCTGCTAGGCTACACGCTCAACACAAGAAGGTGTTTGTTACTGCACCAAATATATTTAGCCCCTTTCAGTCCCAAATGGCAACCAGAGCCAGAACAGCAGGGCTAGATGCTGTCTTAGCAGGCTCCTGTGAAGATGCTGTCACACTGGCGAATCATCAAGCCGTTGTAGTTGGTATTCTGCCAGCCAGGGGATAATCTGGAGACACGCCGGGGTGAAGTGTATTATTCGTGAAGCACTGTGGATCTGGTTGCTGAAAGTGATTCAGCAGCAAATTCGGAATTAGTTTTAGGGTTGTCTAGTTCTGGCATCTAAAGGAAGTGCTACTCCAGCTTGAGCCTTACACACTTTCTTTTCCACCTCCAAAATTGTTTTCAAGGCCTTAATGAATATGCAGAGGCTTAAAGGAAATATACAGTAATGTGCCTTAGTTGGATGGGCTTCATCTGGATTTATTTAACTCATTAATCTACTTGAGACGAGCTTTTACCAAGTTGCCCAGGCTTGTCTTGAAGTTTTGGGCTCAAGTGGTCCTCCCACTTCAGCCTGCGGGGAGTAGTTAGAACTACAGATGTGCACCATCACACCTGGCTGGCACCAGGTGTTTAATGGAGAAACCTCGGATACACTCACTCTAGGCAGAATTTTAGAGCCACCCTCTCCAAGACAGACTTTAAAACTGCACTGTGGGCCGGGGATCTAGCTCAGTGGTTCCGCTGCTTACCTCGAAAGTGGAAGGTCCTGAGTTCAATCCCCATACCAAAAAAAAAACACAAAAAACTGCACTGTCCTACTACTACCTGTGGTAAATGCAGATTTGAAATGTGGCTAGTTTGAATTGAGCTATAGTGTGAATGTAAAATGCACAGTACACTAAAATTTAAAGGCAATATGAAAAAAAACCCATGTAAATACCTTAAAGTATTGATTGAAGTTTAAATATTTTGGGTATATTGGGTTAAATAAAATATATTACTACATTTTTACTTTTGTTTTACTCCTTAAATATGGCTACTAGAAAGCTTTCTACTTATATTAGGCAGCACTGGTGCAGACCACACAGTGTGACTGCCATTAGTGGAGCGTGACTAGAGAATGAAGGTTAAAGTTGAGGTGAAAAAAAGGGTGATGGGGAGGAACTGGCAACGGTCGAAATGAGGGCTAGGGAGAAATATGTCTGACAACAAATGAAAGTAACTTCAGGTAAGGCAACAGAAATGGGAAGATTAGTTCATCTCACTATGCCCTGCTTAGACCTTGATTACTCTTTCCTTTGGTCAGGGGTCTTCTAAGTCAGAAAGCCTTCTCTGATAATGAACTCTTTTCTGTTTGTGCAAATCTTTACTAACTTACCTCATTTTGGTAAAATTATGTTTTTGTATCTCCCTTTATACTCCCAATCTCCACCAAAGTACTGTGAGCTCTTTGAGCATAAGGACCTTATTTTTGTACCTGGAGACAGATCACTACAATAAATGTGGGGACCAGGGAGAGGGGAAAAGGGAATGGGAGAAGCTTCCCTAGTTGGTTGGAAAGAATATCAGGTACTCGCTTGATTTCTTCCTGACCATGAGAGGTGATGCTGAGATGCCTGAAGTACAAATGGGATCTGGATCTGGGGCACCATAGTGGGTGATTTCTAACCTAAGATCTCCTTAGGCCTTGGATCACTGTGGAATTATTCTGTTTATAAGCAGGACTGGCCTTAGTATCCACTCTCCCCTGCCCTTTTCCTTACTTCCCTGTAACTAGGTTTCCCTACTGCATTCCTCTGGAGTGACACAGATCCAAGTGTATCCTCCCACCCGGCCTGGGCCCTATCACTTCTTTGTGAGGCCTGAAAAATTCTGTGGTGGAGGATTATTCAGAAAACAAAAGAAGCCTCTAAATTTAAGTGAGCATGTCAGAAAATTAGGAAGCAGAAGTGACAATATATGTATCTAGGACAAGTGTATCTGGGACCAAGGCTTTGCCAGCTGTCTGAGCTCCTTGTTCACAGTCTTCTCTAGTACTCTGTTAATATCTCTACATGGTTCTTTTTTATTCTATCCACTTTTCAGGCCACACCAGTCCAGAGGAACAACTGGAGTCATGCACAGTATCAATGATGATTTCCTTGAATTGTTGTTCAGTGATTACGGCAGGACACACACACAAGTCCTTGTGGCTATTTCTTAGCATATCCTGGGAATGCCCTAAATGAGCCCTCTCTATGTGCGTCTGCTAAGATGATCCCTTGTACTTAACCCTATTTAATGATGTTTTCTGCTGCTTATAAAGCCACATAAGTGTGCTTTACCATGTCATCATTTGCTAATGGCCACCATAACATCAATGGTGAGGCCAGAATATTATCTGTTTTTAGAGGGAAGAGAACGGTTCCTCTCTGATCACTAATATTTTCAAATAAATACTACATTAGTCATTTATTTTTATTTTGATCAACATATTACACTTTTTAAAAAACCAAATAGTATCACTAGACTTATAATGAAAAACAGTAAGCCCTACCCCAGTCCTCTACACTCTCAATTTCTGCTCCCCAAAGATGATTTCTTTTAAAACTTTTAACTTTATCTATTTAACTTTATCTTTTTAATTTTATCTATTTGGGATCTCCATATTTTTAAGTAGCATGTTTATGTACTAGAATTTAATTATTCAGTTTGGGCTATTATTTTACTTCTTGCTGTAAGAAAATAAATGCTTTTGTACTCTAAAGCCTTCTCAAAAATAATTTATTATTTCTGCATCTTTTTTTTGTTTGTTTGTTTTGGGGGGTTTTTTTTGTTTTTGTTTTTTTTTGGTACCGGGGATCAAACTCGGGTCCTTGCGCTTGCGCAGCAGTATTTCTGCATCTTTTATCCCTCAATATATTTATATCAAGTAAGGCTGTTCATTATTTTAAAGGCATACATATACTTCATCTGTTGATGTAATTAGCAGAACATGATTACATTTCCTCTCTTTGGATTGAAACTAACCATTGCCTTTTTCTCCTTTCAAACTTTATTAACGATCTGGCCTTTTAAGTATGTATAGCTTATCCCAAGTTCTCTCAAAACACTCAAACACATCAGGTAGTCTATTCATTTGTTTTTTAAAAACAAATGAATAGCGGTCCCAGAGTCCTTCATTGTCCTTCACTCTGGACTGGTTGTTCTCTGTACCTACTTAGAGCTTTTGTCCTGGGATAATTTTACCCTTTCTTCTTTCTCATTTCAATCTCTTTTTGTTTTCTTGAAAGATTTCCAATTCCAACTCTGCTTTTGAATTTTAAAATTTCTACTTTATGTTCTAAATTTACTAGAGCACTTTGTCTACCTTCTTTTTTATTTTGGTACTGGGGATCGAACTCGGATCCTTGAGCTTGCAAGGCAGGCAGTGGAACCACTGAGCTAAATCCTCAGCCCCTCAAATTATTATTATTTTTTTTGGTACCAGGGATCAAACTTGGGTCCTTACGCTTGCAGGGCAGGTAGCGGAATCACTGAGCTAAATCCCCAGTTTACCTTCCCTTTTTAAAAAAATTTAGAATTTTAAAATTGTATTGCAAATCAAAAATTATATAATGGGGTTCAAAGTGATGTTATGGGAATGATTAAATCAAGCTAATTAACATATCCATCATGTTAAATATACAGATACCAAAAAATTTTTGTGGTGAGAATATTTGAAATTAATTCAACAACTTTGAAACATGCAATATTATTAGCTATAATCACCATACTGTGCATTAAGTCTTTAAAAATGTATTCCTAGCCACTGAAACTTTGTACACTCTAACATTTCCTTAGTCTCTCTGGCCCCAAGCCTCTAGTAGCCAACATTCTACTCAGTGATTCTAAAAATTTGATAGTTTTAGATTCCACATCTAAGTAAGATTATATGGTATTTGTCTTTCTGTGCCTGGCTTAGTTCACTTAGCACATACTTTCTCTTTTCTTCTCAAATTCCAGTGGTGGGTGTTCTAATTACTTCATGAATGAAATAGAAAGCAAAGTCATCATTTTAGAGTGGGAATGGGGAAACTATGAAATAATTTAGGACATAACAGTAATCTATAGCCTGCAACCTAATCATATTTTTGTACAGTATGCAAGGTAATTTTTATACTTCTAAGTGGTGGAGAAAACAATTCTACAGATATTATGACACTTACAACTTCTATAAAATTTTGCCTATGGCTACTTTCATGCTATAATGGCAGAGTTGAGTAGTTCCAACAGACTGACCCACAAAGCCAAAAATATCTGGGCCTTTATAGGAAAAGCTGACTGACCCCTGATCTAGCAGAATGGACTAGGGAAAGAGGATTGTCTACTCTTCCCCTCACACATTACCTGCCAATATTGAACCTTGCCATTTCTATAACTCTCCTCTCCATGGGCCATACACAGACGGATCCTCCTGGAGTCTTCAGATCTTCCAATAGGTCCCTTTCATACACCCTTGTGCTCCAATTGGTCTTAATGAAACCTGTTTAATATACTTTCAGTTTGCAAGTTGTTCCTATGTACCACTGAGAAACTAGTATGAGCTCAGATATGTTTATGTTTGGAGGTTTCCATAGGAGTTACAGAACAGGGTGATTGCTTCATCATAGTCTGCTCCACAACCAATCAATTTTTATGTTGTTACCCAGTTCCAGATAAGTAAGATGAGAATTACTATAGCACCCTCCCCTACCAAGTACAAGGTCATCCAGTGTGTGCAAGAAACCCAGCATTTCATAATAAAATCCCCAGATGTGATGAAAGCAGAGTTAATTTCTTTATCTAGGATTATCATACAGATAATATCTTTGTCCTCTCAATCCCTATGTCCTCATGTCTCTCCTCTGAAAAACACAACCGCCTCTAGTCAATCAACCAAACTTCCCAACCTATTTCTCTTTTTTGAGGCCATTGGCAGGACTGAAGTATCTGGGTTCTCTGGACAGTTAGGTTTCCTGCATTAATTACAAATTTCAAAGCTACTCTGGCTCCAATAAAAGAAATGCCAGGATTAAAATCCCCTCTGATTATTATGGGGACTAGAATTTACTGAGTAAGTATTGGTCCATGAATGACTGTGAGAAAAAAAAGTGCTTCAAAGCACTTGTTTGTAGCTGTAGCTGTCTGCAAAGCACAACCTGTAGCTGTCAGGTTGCTAGAAGCTTTGAATGAGTCACTACCTTAAAAAAGGCAAAGACCCAGCCTTTTCTCCATTCTGGTCAGGGGCATCTGGTAGTCTCAGTCCATGCCACACCCACCCTATACCACACTGAATAAAAAGGTCTCCAAGAACACAGTTAATTAGAACTTGTTTTTTGTTCTTCTGAAACTATTAAAAATACAGATTCTAGGGGCTGGGGATTTAGCTCAGTGGTTCTGCCACCTGCCCCGCAAGCACAAGGACCCGAGTTCGATCCCCGGTACAAAAAAAAAAAAAAAAAAATATATATATATATATATATATATATATATATATATATATATACTGTTACTTGTTGAAGAGTCAGGTCAGGTAAACTTTTTGACATTTTTCATAATTTGAAAAAATACACCAGAAAACCTTTTAAGGTAGAACAGCAGCATCCTTTGAGTAGTCAAACATAATTCTAGGTTGTGATAACTATCGTTCAGAGTTGAAGCACGTTGGTTGTTGACTGTTTAACCACGGTTTAAATATTAATACTTAAATGGTAAGTTTCTATCACTTGTAAAAATGCATTTACTTGGAATGCCATTTGGACCACGGGTTTAACTATATATTAAAGTTAATTCAACTCTTTTCCTTCCCAAACCTGTCCTATTGAACTAAATATTTGCTTTCCTAGAAGTGTTCTCTCCCGTACTACTGATTGACCCACTGTAAGACCATTCTCATATATAAAGCTTTGTGTGACAATGATATGTTAGCCACTTTATATGGCTTATTTCATTTGACACTAAGTTAAGTACTATTATGCGACAAACCCAAACTGAGTGAGGTTCACTAATCTGCCTTAAGAGGGAGCTGAAGGACCAGTAGCAGTGAAGGAACCAAAAACCACAAAGCCTTGTGTTCAGAAGACCCTAAGAGAGAAACAAGATGCAATTAGGCTGGGCCTGGGCTCCCCCACCTTCCAGGTTAGGCCCTGACACAGACACTGTCAGACAAGCACACAGAGGGGAGATTTCACTTTATTTTATATCAGTCTCACAAATAATCCCAACACAACCATAAACATTGAGCAGATAACGTGCCCTTGCAGAGAGGCCTGGCAACAGAAGGAAGGAGGAATCCAGTTCATCTCCTCCATGTCCCCAGCCTAGAAAGATATTTCTATTACACAAATATGAGGGCAGCTGATGTACCGGGTAATCTATATGATGGACAATCTGAGCTAAGAAATAGAAAATCATACCAGGTGGGGTCTGTGCAGGGCAAGGAAATAGAAAAGTCAGAAAATACTCATTCCTCAAATGAGTCAGGCATAGAAATACCAAACAATAAAAATATTTTTCAAACTTCCTGTACTTGAGGTGGGCATCTAATAAGGAATTAGATAGGTCTGGTACTTCTTGGTGGTATCATTCCTGAAAACAGTGACCTGGATAACACATTCTTTCTCCCATACTCTGAGGCACAAGAATTTTCTAAGACTCTGGGAAGAAGTGACCTCAGCTTTTTGCCTTGCCAGCCCCCAAAAGTAGAACACTGGGAAAATGGAGGCTATCAAAGTAGTCAATTTGGCAACATCTGAAGAAGGTTAATGAATCTCTTGTAATTATCTTTGGACATTTTAAAGTGCTCTATCAAGCCTAGGGTTTAAAACATAATTATTTGGTTAAAGAATTCCAAGTGATTTGAATATATTGAAATTACGATATCCTAAGCCCACTTCATCTTAGCTGTTTTTATTCTCAAACTGGAAAATCACTAGCTGATTTTCTGAGACCAGAAGGATCACTAAGGACCATCTGATCATCCTTATGATGCCACATAATCCTGAATGCAAAGGCCCAGGCCCAGGTGCATCTTTCCAGAACCTAAGAGTTCCTGGCCTCACTTAGTCCACAGGGAATAAAATAAAGATAAACCAGAAGGAAACTTCAACATGTCTCACTTGTGGCCAAGAGTCAAGGCTTTCAAGGAGGGAAGAGGGGTGAAGAATTCTAGCGCCATCCTAGGATAAGAACCAGGCCAAAATGCTAACATGATAGGTAGGGGAGAAGTGTACAGAGGCCTTGGTGGAAAGGAACAAGTCCTCCTAGGTAAGGAAATGGGGTGTAGCTGGAGGCAGGCTGAAAGCTGGCAATCCTAGGATCACTTCTGCCGAGCTTCAGGTGTTGCCTCCCCTACTATGGGTAGCCTTGCTTAGGTTTTTGTTTTGCTACCTTTATTGAGGCTGATAGGAAAGGAGCCTATGGAAAGACCCAGTGAAAACTGACTGCCTGATTGTTCAAATGGGGGTCACCAAATTCCCAGTTTTTAGGAGCTCCTGTGAGGCCAAATTCAGGGTTCAAAGAAATGTTTGGTAACTGAAGAATGTTTGGCAGTAACTGAACAATGAATGGACAAGATAGTTGGTGGTACATGGCAAGGTTCAAAGTGGGATCCATTAAACACCCTGCAAACTATAGCTATGAACCAAGTGTAGACCTGGGACTATCTTAAAGGAATACAGCTGGGTATTTTTCTGACTTGTCCAAACACTTTTATGACTGAACTGAATGGGAGATTCTATTACAGGTACCCTCAAGTTATGACTGGCCTGACATATGAACAACTTGGAAGATTCAGCCGCCTCGTTATGTATAGTATGTACCCAGGTAAATATCCAGATGTGAACTGATAGTTTGTAAGTCAAGGGTCCACTGTCCTAGTGTGCCTAAACTGACACCTGAAGAAACAACAACAACAACAAAAAAGCTTAAAAACACTCCCAGGATTTCCCCAACCCTTCGAGAGGGTCAGGCAATACTGCCCAGTTATAAAAGGTTGTTCTTAATACTACCAGCTTCCCTGCATCTGAACAAAGCTGAGGAATTTCCCAATCCTCAGTTCCCTGCCTGGAAGCTTCACTCTGTGCCTCCATTCCAGAAAGCTTTCCCCAGGTAGGCCTCACCATCAATTACTCTACTCAGTCTTCTCCCTTCTATTCTAACCCTGCTGTGGGTTTTTTCATTTTCTTTCTCTACCCCTATTTCCAGATACTTGAGTCTCTTTCAGATACCTAACAGGCTGGGTTGAAAAACTGACTGGATCTTGGTGGTAATCAGTGTCTCACAGTAATGCCTAGATTATTTACTAAAGGCATCAGTGATGTGTCTCAGACAGGGATTAATATTCATCTGTCTGTGATCTCCTCCCCTTCCTCCTCTCCAAGAAGTTCACAGTGAAAGACTACCTCACTTCATCTCTGTACCCTCAGGTTTTAGTGCCAAAAGAAGGCCCTAAATGTAACAGTTTGGGTAGGGTACTTTTGGTGGGCTTGGCACCCAGGAAGGCAGTCTATTCAGATCCTCCTGGCATCTGTCTCCGAAACACACTCTTCCCCTACCCTGCCCTTTTCACACACTCTTACTCCTTTGTCTTCCTGTTAAGGCTTGAAAACAAATGAGGCAGCACAAGAGCCCTGGCTTGGAAATCAGGTCTGAGTTTTAGGTCCCTCTTGTCACTGATGTAATATATGAGTTTAAACAATTCACTTGCCTCTCTGGACCTTTAAATGAAGTGTTTGGAGTAGGCAACCACTCTAGGCTCTTTTAGATCAGTTCATACCTGAGAAATCAATGAATTAATCAGCAGAGAGTCTAATTCCAAGACAAAGGTTTCCTACACCTCTTTGAAACAGCTGAAAGAAGGTAAGTCAGGTTCCTATTTATTATATATTTAGCTATAGGAAAAGAAGCAGTGTATCTATGAAGAAATAGAACCTGGCAGCCTGTTTACTTGACTAATAAAAGCAAATTTTTGAAAGAAGCAGAGAAATAGGCCACAAGTGAGACCTGGCAGTGTCAAAAAGGATCTATTAAATTAAGTGATCAAAGGAGTAAAAAACAATGGCTGTAACCAGACAAGATCTCTAAGCACAAACTATAGTCTAGAGAGGTCTAGGGGAGAAGGAGCCCCTGGAGCATCTATTGGAAGGAAGGACTTGGTCCACAGCAAGTTGCTACGCATTTGGTTCAGAACCATCTCAATCTGTCACCCTGGTGTGTGCACACATGCAGACATCCTGCTGGGTGCAGTTATGCTTCTGAAGTGCTGCAATGAAAAAGAAACAGAAGAAATGACACCAAATTCAAGGACTTAGGCTGAAGACAAGCAAAGCATTGGTTTAAAAGCTGCTTATTTCCCCTACTGCTCTGTGTGGTATCATTACTGCTCACTCTGAATGATGGAATGATGAACTCAGAGCAGGCAGGGATAGATTGGTGGTATGACTGAAAGCCAAAGACAGGATAAAACCCACATACTCTCTGAGAACCCCCCAAGTCATGTCAAATGGATTGATTTCACCTGACCAATCTGGGCACTCACTTGTCTTCATTCAAAGAAACGGTCTCCACAAAAGGGATCTCTTCCTTATCAGTCTTCCCCATGATCAGTCGGTGCTTATCCAAGTTTATGATACACTAAAAACAAAAGAGAATCACTACTCACTATGGGTTCCCCATGTGAGAGGATCCCTGTCTCAGAAAGGAAGTATCAAAGGGAGAGTGGAGCCAATCCTACCTTCAGGGATCGGAGAGTCTGGAGACCAAGAGACAAGTTTTTCTCATTGTCCTCTAATAAAAACAAGATTAAGATTTAGCCATTTCCTTGATGTCAACCTGATCACCCTTAGTCCATTCCATCCATCTACCATCCAGCAATCCACCCAGCCAATAAACAACAATTGAACATTTGTTATTAAGTAATTATATCATATAGTTAAAAAGTGATGGAATCAAGATTCAAACAGAAGGTTTTTTTTCACTGTAAAGAACAGAGGTATTTAAGTCAAAAATGAAGAATTTAATGTAGTATAAAATGTATGTGAAGTGTAGGAGGTGTGTTGGAAGTTATCAAGGGAATCATGAAAGGCATATGAGGATACTGTCCTCTGCTACTAACTAGTTCAGGGGATATTTTTGCCTGCACACAAGTTTGTGTTTGTTTTCTTGTTTCATGAATTTTTAAATTTGACTCCCATACTTGATTTTCTGATTGATTCTCAGCATTCCTTGGATGCAGCTATGGGCCCATCTGATACTTTGGAAGGCAAAATTGGGACAACTTCTATAGCACGGGAAAATGGGAACCTGGGATTTTTAAGAGGTCAATATTTACAGGCACAAGATCTCATGAGGGTTTATGTTAGGGTTTTTAAGTCCAGTCTTCAATTTTACTCACCAACCACAGCTGCTGGACAGTCCAGGCGGAAGGAGCCCAGGGTGATCACTAGATGCTCAATCTGACCCACTACCTTAAGATGCCGGGGCAGAGAAAACTTTTCTCCTTCATACTTGTGAGATTTAACAAGCTCCTTGAGTCTGCATCAGAGAGAAGGGTACCGGAATCCCGTTGGCAGAGGTTTCTCATAGAATCTGGCAATACCTGCCTTCTGATCCAGGACTGGAATTCTCTAGGGATTTCCTGGGACTAATACACCAAAAAAGAGCTAGGCAGCCTATACTTGTTTCAGTACTCTGTCCTAAACATGCCAGGGAGATAGTAAAAAGAAAAGACTTATTTCCTATTTTCAAATAGTTTATGTCACTACCTGCATTGATAAAGGAGGGGAGTAGATACACTGAGAGAGTTCTATCCTATGCTACACCATAGCATCCCTACCTATGTGTGAGACAGTTTGGTTAACATGTCCTTTTATCCAACTGTGGGTAATAGCTACCAGAGAGGGGAGGTTAACCCTAATTTTAGAAAATGCTTTGTTCAATGTCTAATTTCTCCTTCTCCTTTATATTTTAATCTATCCTCATCAGTTTAGTGGTGGCAAGGACATATTTGGAAAGTGCACTGATATTGGTATCAGCAAGGAATATTATGGAGAAAGTTTTTATTGATTTGACTTGTCTATACAGGAGAGGAAGGAAAGGAATAGCACCAAGATTTCACATAGTTACATAAGCTGATTGGAATAGTTAGCACTCAGGATATTATGGGTTGGTGGATAAGTACTTAATTATGAACCTTCTGTGCCAATACTTCTGCTTTCTTCCATTTCCTCTCTTTTGGCGTTACAGCGCATCCAAAAGAAAAATAATTGCAGTTTTACAGATGATGATTAATTCCCTTGGAATCATGGCAGTCTGCTGTCTAATTATGCATCAGGACATTATTAGGCTTTTCTGGAACCCCATACCTCATTTCTGCACCACATAAAAGCTCAGGATTCTTCCCCCAAGAACATTTGAGTCCTGGACTCCCCTATCCCTACCCTAAAGAGCAACGCACAAAACCCCAGAAAAAATTTTAGTCACAGGGATGGTGAGGGGTACAGGGTAGAGGACAGAGTGGCACAGAAGGAATACATCATGCGGTAGGCACACTGATTATACAAATGAAGCTCTGTGTAAGCCCTACATAAGAATATGGATATCTTGACTATAGCTCAGAATGGCCACTGTGTCTGTCTTGATGATTACTGCATTACAGAGATTTGGGCCAGGGGAATGATTTATTGTACTTGGGACTGGAGATAATGAAAAGTAATATGGATTGATCACACTGATTCCTGGCTAAACCTCAGAGTCCATCTGATACTTTAGAGGAAAGAGTAGAAAGAAGGAAAGAAATAAAAGTAGAGGCTGAGAAAAAAAAGTAGAGGCTGAATGAAAAGGAGATAAGACCCAGAATGGCTTTCTGATTAAAAGAGGGAGAACCTAATTCCAGCTATTAAAGAACTGAAGACATTCAATATACCAGATGTCTGCCTCACACTCCATCCCCAGCACAGGCAACAAGAAGATCTGATGTTATCTGCTCTTCACAGAGAGGAAAAGAACTACGAAATTCCCAGTTAATCACCCCCTGAGAATAGCAAGAGCAGCCTTTTCTCAGTTCTCACTAATGGTTCTTGGGGACAGGCAGTGTATCCTCCAGAAGGGACCTGAGAAAACTAGCGCCAACCATATCCCCACTTTTACTCATTTGAGGCAAAACAATGGGGCACTTATTTCTAATCTGTGTCTTGTGGGCCAAGGCAGGGCATACATGCAACCAGCAGTGTCATACGCTTTCATTCCAGAATCCAGATGTCTCTGCTCATAACCTAAGAGGAGTTAACAGAAAGCCCAGTGCTTTCCAGCTTACTGATCTCTCCCAGTCGCCTGATAGCCTACCACTTTCTTGTATGCTAAGGACTCAGTTCCAGCTGAGATCTGAATATTTCTCTTTTTGCTTCTGTGGAGACCCTCACCATCTCTAGTTTCAAAAGAGATTCAATGAAAAAGTCCATTCACACCTGACTTCCACACATCACAAGTGGCAACTTACCCCAATCTGTCCACACAGGCTGAGGATATGAGATTATATTGACAGCCTGTGTCAACCAAGGCTTTCACATCCTTTCCAGCACACTGTGGGATTGAAGCATACTGTTCAGTAGGAGGCAGAGAAGTAAAAGGGAAGGGAGATGTGGAAAGCAAGCAGCAGATGTCAAATGAAAGGGTTGGAGAGCATCCTCCCACTATGGGTTGATGGTGTCCACTGCTAAATCTGCCACTAGTTCTGTTTCCTGCTGAATCCAAGGCTAACAAAACATTCCAAAGGACTTCTGGTGTTTCATTCTATACACCAAGTAGCTATTAATCTTTTAAAAAATCACATTCCCCTTTGTAAATCTAAGGAAAGCCTTCGTCCTTCTCATAAAGATGGACATGTATACAAACATTGCATACACGTACAGTGTTGCATGGAGTGTCCTCTTGAAAATTCACTTATAAATTCCATAAGACTTACAATCTATAAAGTTTGGAGGATAGAGCCTATTATTCATCACAAAGGGGCCCAAAACCTACTTTCCAGAGAACCCTGGAAAAGCTATTCTCTGAACATTACCTGGCAAGAAACCAAAATCATGTCATCATCCTCAGACTTCTTTAGTCCTTCAGACTTAGCCTGGTTGAGTTTGTTGGTCTTGGAGGCCCAAGGAACACGACTGCTTCGGAGCTTAGACAGGTTGGTTTCCATGAGGCGCCTCTGCAGAATGTTATGAGGTTGCTTGAAGAATATAAAACAGGCTTCTTAGTGACGGGCCACTTCCCCATTCTCCCATTGTCCCCCAAGTATCACAGAAATAATGAAGGAGCCTCATGAAATTGAACTCTATCTTTGCTTATTTATTTATTTTTCCTTCATTAATATTGTCAGCCAGGTACTATAAACCAATTTGCAATAGGCCACCCTGAATGAATGAAAGAGCAAGGTATAAAACTGGGGAAATGGGGATAGGGTTAGTTCAGCAGAACTGGCAGATGCTGTTGATGCTGCCTGCTGCCTTCCCTCTCCTTGTAAAGGAATTTCAGAGGAAAAGTGGCTTTAGTCTGAAATAAGTGATCTCTGGATCTTCCAAGTGACTATAAATCTGTAGAAGTGGCAGTTTATTCCCAGAAGTTACAGAAACTTAGCACTGGTATTCAGAAGCTCTGCTTACTTTTATGACAAGTCACTCCTTTACGGTCTTATCTTTTATACCTAGTCTGTAGATGTCTTAGTGGCCTGGCTGTACTGTGAGTTGAATCACCCATAGGGCACACGGGGTGGGAAAATTCATACCTGCTGAGCAAGCCTCTTAACATACTTTGTAACTTGGTAGAACCACAGAAATCATCTTCACTGACATCCTCTTGTCCTATATTGTCATCCATTTCCTCCATCCCTTTAATAGGCCAAAAAGTGGGGGGGTATACAGACAGACATTGCCCAAGAATCAGAAGATTATATATGCCAGGATACTTAACATTAGGAAGCAGAATGAGGGGTGTAAGTTCAAGTCTGCTCTTTGATAGAGCTTAGGAGAGTTTCTTGTGCAGATATATTCATGCTCCACCATTATTAGTTGGTGGTCTCCAGAAAGTTTAAGATATCTTTTGATAAGAAGTCATTTGACCTGAGAAACTTGTATATACAGGGCCGGGGATTTAGCTCAGTGGTTCCCCCGCCTGTCTTGCATGTGCAAGGTCCTGAGTTCAATCTCCGGTACCAAAAAAAAAAAAAAAAATTTCTATATACAACCATCCATGCCAATTTTACAGTAACATTTAAAATCCCTGAAAGGATAGAGGTTAGCCTCAAGGTTACCATATTCCTTCTCTAATTCTAGGGGGAAGGGAGTCATTCTCAGAAGCCCAGGGCCTAGAATGTGTCTGGGGAAGGTGGTAGCATTCGTGGTCTTCATTATCTGTCACAGATTTCTAAGGAAGGATGGAGTCAGAGCTGTGACTCATTTCAGCCCTGGTTAGTTGAAGAAATGGATTCCCAGAATACTGATTCATGGGGAAAAAAAAAGTCCTAAATTAAATTCTTTGGGAAAGGAAAGGGAGAGACACTTTTAAAGAAAATGAGAACTTCTTAGCTTGATAAGGGATTATAGGGAGTGCTAACTCTGTCAGATTTTGTGATGCAATAGTGAGAGAATGCTTTGCTCCTCAAAAGAAAAAAAAGTTTTCCATTCTAATCTCTCTAATAAGCCTGGATTCCTAGATCAAGCCATATCGAAGGTACTGAAACAGGGTATTTGTTTCTGTTGAGTTCATGCTTAGCAAAATCAACTCAGATAAATTGGATGTGTAGAAGTGAGGATTGAAAGTGGCTCCAAGGCCGCCTAATCAATGACCTCTCACCTGAAGCTCGGGGCTCTACCACATTGGTTCTGGTGAACACAAATTTACCTAGTTATTCTTACCCTTTCAAAGGAGTTAAGTCATCAATAGATAAATGAGGAAAGTTCTGAAATTATTCTCCTTGAAGTAATACTCCTTCTGTATTCCTCCCTTTCTCCTGGATCCTTCCTCCACCAGCTATGGGGGAGAAAATTCACCCATGAAACTTCAGATCCTGCCTCCTTAACTCTCATGATCCTCTAATCACTGTAATAGTCTTTAAAAAAAAACCCCTAAACTATGTCTACTTCCTGATACTCTATATTCTTCACTGAGATCACTTCTGACCCCACAACACCAATAATAATCTCCTAATTCCCAAATTCAGTAGACATTTTTCAGCCCTAATTTTATTTAACTTCTCTCAAGCATTTGGCCTTGCTTGACTTTTCCTTTATTTGTTCTTTTCTTTGGTGACAAAAGTTAGTATGCTTTTAGCACAAACACATGGTAAATGTAAAATATTCAAATATCACTGAAGTATATAAAACTGAAGATGAAAACCTCCCCAAGATCTCCCAACCCCTATAAATATACAGAACCCTTATAAATATATAAGTCCTAACCCTTATAAATAATTTTGAAGTATGTCCTTCCAAAACACAACTTTATAAAATATCCAAATGTCAGATCATACTATCACACTTCTGAAATGTTCTATTTTTATTTAATATATGAAAGGCATTTTTCTATGTCAGTACTTACAGTTGTTTTCACTCACTCTCATAACTTTCATATTTCCAAAAAGTATTCGGGGATAGAAAATTCACAGCCAACAAACCCATATGAACCTCAGAGATGTTTTTCTTTGCCCATTTCATTATACCCACAAGTTTTACCTATGCTCCCACCAGAATTTCACAAAAATGATAGTTAAAGGAATAAGAAAAGCCCAAACCCACAAATACAAAAATAACAGTTAGGGAAACAAGAAAAAAATATATTAGATGTTGACAAAATTCTGGGATCTGAACAGCTGACAGAAAAACAGTAATTGACCCAGTCTAGCGAAAGCTGAGCGCTCACATCATTTTACTTCAGAAAATGCTGAAGTGACAGAGACTGCCAGCTGCTCATTAAAATCCTTCTCATCCTCCTCCCAAGCAGATACCCGGATTATGTTTTCTTTTTTGCAGTTAGGCATAAGTTCCAGAGGATGGGATTTGAGAAGTGACACGTTCCGCTTCCAGGACTGGCTCATAAAACTCTTTTCAGCATACTTCTCTATATTCTTTTCCCCTACTGGCTGGCTGGAGTGGAAACCTAGGATAACCTTTTTCTTAGAGGCCACATGTTAAAGACAAAAGTACCATTGTAACCCTGGATCCATAAATGACTGCATGGAAGAGGGCTGTCTTGCTGAGTTTTTCACTGGTATAGTCACCAAAAATCCAAGGATACTCAACTTCCTTAAATAAAACGTCATATTTACCCACATCCTCCCCTATACTTTAAATCATTGCTGGATTATGATACCTAATACACTGTAAATGCTATGGAAGTAATTGTTATACTGTATTGTTTAGGGAATAATGACAAGAAAAAGTATGTGTTCGGTACAGGCACACTTTTTTTCAAGTATTTTTATTCCACTATTGGTTGCATCTATAGATACAGAACCCATAGATACTGAGGGCTGACTGTACTATTACTTAAGAAAAACAATGATGTTTGAATATATATATTGTTTGAATCATATATATATCATATCATATATATTATATATATATATATGCAGAAAAGTCTGAAGGGTTACAGTTTACTGGAACTTGTACAGTCAGAGGGTGGTATTAGGTTTGGAAATAGTTTAAAGCCTGCATAAGACTCCTATTTGACTCAGACAACTGGGAAACACACTAAAAGTTTACTCTTTTTCTCAGAGTAAATCAAAAGACTATTTGATAGTTTGTCTGGGCTTTCAGATTTCTACAGCAGCTAGTACTGTAGAGTTTCATACTTAAGAACTTAAGGACATGAGTTTAAAGATTGAAAGGGCTCACACAGAGCCTACAATAATGAAGGAGAAAAGATCCACATCCAGATTTCACGTCTCTGTGGGAAACACAAGTGAAAAAGATTCCAAAAAGAAAAGGATAATCCAAACACAAAGACTTAGGAATCAGAATGTTACAGCACTACTCAATAGAAACAATGGATGCTAAAAGACAACGGAATTGTATTTTCAAAAATCTGAGAGTACATAATATCTACATCAAGATTTAACAAAGATATTTCCGGTACATCCTCAAGAAGCTACTGAAAGACGCTCCAAAAAAGTGAGGGAAACAAACCAAAAAATAGAAAAGTATGGGCTCTAAGAAGTAAAGGATCCAATAGAGAAGAAAGACAAAGGAAATTCTGAGAATAGTATTGAAGGAAAAGTCCAGGATATAGGTTGTCTGTCCAGCCTCATGAGCAGCCAGTTCAAAACAAAATAAAGGATGTCTCTAAGAAAAAAATGAACTTACTAGATTACCTATATTTTTAAGGTTCTTACAGGAGATTTAAATTTAACATTGAAAATTAAGTACAAATAGCCCAAGGAAATTAATTTTGAGAAAAACAAATATTTATATAAGAAAAGAAACAATCATAGTATATTTGCCTCAGCTGTATATAATATGAACAGTCATAATAAATAAGCAGTAAATACAGATTTGACCCAAAACAATTATTTAGAAAAATATTAATAGAAGAAGGGATGTGATAGGAAGGTGTAAAAGAATGAAAATTTTCTCCCTTTTAGCAAAACCAATAGATAATTGTAAATCAATAAATCAAGAAGTAGCAGTATCATCATTTACTTAGAAACATGGTTATCCCCAACACAAGCAATGGCTTTACATTTAAGTTTTAAATTATATACGTGAATTTTAAAATAAAAATAAAAATATATGTCCCATAAAACAGGCAGGAGTTCAGTCCCAAGGAAAGCCAGATTATAGTGGTTTAAACGGAGGTTATTTTTTTTTCACATAATAAGAAGTCTGGAGGTAGGCATTGCTGACCTTAACTCAGCACATTAACAACTTCAGGGCTGCTGTCTTTGTAATTCCCTTGCTATACCCTCATAGTCATAAGACGGGTTCCCCAGCTGAAGAAATTACATCCATATTCAAGAAATGAGGAAAGAGGAAGGAACTACAGTACATTAGTGCTACTATTCCTTTTATCACCAAAGCAAAAACTTTCCCTGAAGTTCTCTCAGTGGTATTTTTGCCTGTATTTTTTATTCACATGGCCATTCCTTGCTGCAAGAGAGACCCTGGGACACAATTTAGCTTTCCTAATCTCTATAAAGAGGAGTCAGGCAGACAGAAAAGGGCTGAGAGGCCAGGG